TTCTCGAAACGTATTTTACTTTAACGTTTTTCATTGCCACTCAGAACTGCTTCACTATTTACGGCTCGGGTCGAAAACTCCTGAAGCCGTTGGCTTCTCTGTTGTCTTTGTTCCTGGTAATCCCTCTATATGTCGGTTTATCATAGAGTTGTATGTGAATTGATATACTAAGCTAGTTTCTCTTAGTGTTGCAATGGTCGTATGTTGCTGTAGGTGGTTCTTGCAGCGGCGTCGTGGTACTATAGACTTTAAACCCTTATCACTCCGGGGCAATCAAGTCGACATTGGCAACATTGGCTCATCTTCACCAGATATAAAACACTCATTTTTTGCTGTTTTTTGGTCCATATTGGTGTTGTCTCCGGTGACCTTGCCGACGACGGTGCCGACGACGCCATCCAGTGCTTATAGTCACTATTTAGCTTATAAATAAGTATATATGTGACATATTCCAAGCCATTTTTCTTTTCATGGCACAAACTTTTTTTCTCAGTTTTATTTAACAATCGAGATTTTGGTTGTGTGTTGACATCCTGGATGGTATCTGCGAAGTCTAGAATATTTAACTTCTGTTCAAGAGAACCCCTGGACGTTGTTAACCGTGCTCTGAGTGATACCTGGAATCATTCAACTTTTGTTTTGGATGATCCTTGGAAAAACTAGTCCCCCCCCTCTCTAATTCCCCCTCCCCCCCTCTCTTATTCCCCCCTCACCCCCCTCCCCCTCTGCCTTCGAATTGCAGCGTGCATGACGTTATTTCTGGACCCACATAACGACTGTTAACATTCTAGACGAACCTGTAATACTGGACGGAATCTTTCATTCACTGAGGGCTAAATGTGTGCAACATTCATGAGTGTATTTCCAGCAAGCAAGGGAAGAAGGGAGGGTTAGGGGTCACGCTCTAATTAGTCCAATAGACGGAGGAAGTGGGAGATGGGGGTCTCCCCCCCTCCTCTCACCTCCACTACTAGCGGGAGGGAGGGAGGGAGAAGGAGATGGGGTCTCCCCCCTCCCCTCACAGCATGAGGGGGGGGGTAAGATGGGTGGGGGGATGTGTTAATGGAACTGAAAAGGGTTATAAGCGTTCTTTGCAGGTCAGGAGGGAGAGGGTCAGCCCACGCAAGTGACAGAGGTTCAGGGGGGACACCTGGGGAGGGAGCAGGGGGCCGGAAGTAAGAAGATTGGAGTCCTAATGAGCGTCTGGGCAGGTGTGTGTGTGGTGCGTCTGGGCAGGTGTGTGTGTGGTGCGTCTGGGCAGGTGTGTGTGTGTGGTGCGTCTGGGCCGGTGTGTGTGGTGCGTCTGGGCAGGTGTGTGTGTGTGGTGCGTCTGGGCAGGTGTGTGTGTGGTGCGTCTGGGCAGGTGTGTGTGTGTGGTGCGTCTGGGCAGGTGTGTGTGTGGTGCGTCTAAGCAGGTGTGTGTGGTGCGTCTGGGCAGGTGTGTGTGGTGCGTCTGGGCAGGTGTGTGTGGTGCGTCTGGGCAGGTGTGTGTGGTGCGTCTGGGCAGGTATGTGTGGTGTAGAGAGGGAGGGGCAGGCTAGGGGAGGAGGAGGGAAGATATTGCAACACCTAAGAAGTATGCAGGTAATGACAGACTAAATACCTGCAAGGCGCCACGACTCATTTGGAGGAAAAAAAACACCCATGAAGGCTTGCATAATTTAACTTATGCAGACCCTAATCTTGGTGAGAGGGAGAGGCAAGCTGACGAAGTAACAATGAAGGATATATATATATATATATATATATATATATATATATATATATAGGGGACTACCACCTCTGGTACAATTCTGGAGACCCTTAACCTCAATGAGGGGTAATAGGGAGCATTCAGAGCAAAATGTTTGTTCCTCATTTCTTAAGTATTTACTTTTCAACTACCCCTCCCCACCCAATTTTAATTGTAAACTTGATTGTACATGATTACCTGATCACATATGCGTGTTGCACTAACGTATACAAGACATTACTCTTGCAAGTAAAATACAAAAAAACCAGCAACAGAATTCATTAATAGATGATACAAATCATCTTGAAAACTATTGCCAGTCAAACCTCATTAGATTCCTTAAGGTTGGCCTCGTGCCCAAGATGCAGCTGGCATAGCTTTGCCCTCTGAACTGCGACACTCTGCTACTGGAAGAAGAAACATGTCGCTCTTTGGTCTGTTGTGACTCCAATTAGAATACGCCAGAATATGCCTGGGATATAGATGTATCTGGCAGCTTTCTCAAAACCCAAATATCGAGTACACCACGTGTCAACTTTGTGAAGGTGTCGAATACACCACGTGTCAACTTTGTGAAGGTGTCGAATACACCACGTGTCAACTTTGTGAAGGTGTCGAATACACCACGTGTCAACTTTGTGAAGGTGTCGAATACACTATGTGTCAACTTTGTGAAGGTGTCGAATACACTATGTGTCAACTTTGTGAAGGTGTCGAATACACCACGTGTCAACTTTGTGAAGGTGTCGAATACACCATTGTTATCAGTGTTATTACTCAGGTAACTGGCAACTGACAGCCTCCAGCCGCGGCCAGAAAGAGTGGGAAAGGAACAACAATAATTCTAATATACCAGGGGCGGAGGCTATAGTCAGGGATGACACTGAAGCAGAAACTCAGGAAGTTGTAAACTCTGACTCAGTATGCCCGGATGTAGATGACAGTAAACTAGAAAGTGTAACAGACAGCACTGACAGCGCGATAGGTACAGACACTACGACGGTTCCCGATAGAGCGAGTCAGACCAGAAGGATAGACTTATGCAAATTTTATGCAAAGGGCATATGCAGACATAGATATGCTGGTAATAAGAAAGGATTAGAATGCAGTTACCAACAACCCAAAATATGTTTAAATATGCTTAGGAAAAGCGAGTGTCGATTAGGATCAATATGTAGGTTTTTCCATCCTGACATGTGCCAAACCTCACTGGAGAACAGAAGATGCTATGACCTCAGCTGCCCATACTTTCACGTGAAAGGCACGGAACGCTACATTAAGAGTGGCAAGCAGGATAATGAATTTGGAGGAAACTCGATAAATTGTTTATACCAAACCGAAAGGAGGAGCATGGAGAGTGTATGGAACTGGATGCCAGATCCACTTGCTTACCAGAATTACAGATATAATTACACACCGAAAGGGAACTACAACTACGACAGACAACTGCCCTACAACAATCAGCACTGGTCAGAACAAACTCAACATGTCCACGCATAATGGGCTTGCCGAAAAAGTCTCCCAGCCAAACTATCACTAATAGAGTAACCTCATTCATCTTTGCCAACATACAAGGACTAAAAACAAGAACAAACAATAAAGTACAGTTCATAAATGGCCTCCTCACGGAGTCAAATGCACTAATTGTAGCTTTCACAGAAACCCATGCAGGGGAACTCATGGACAGTGAGATCTGGATTCCAGGATATAACCTATACAGGTGTGATAAGAAAATTAGGTCACATGGAGGAGTGGGTCTGTATATTAGGGAAGACCTTGTATGCTCGGAGCTCCTTAACGTTACAAATGAGGTGGTAGAGGTACTGGGATTAAAAATAGAGAAAATAAACTTAGTGATTATTTTAATATACAAACCGCCAGATGCAACGGCCGAGGAATTCACAGAACAGATAAACAAAATAGAGAATAGCCTTGATAATATGGCGAACCCGATACCTGATATTATCTTCCTAGGTGACTTCAACTTGCCTAGTCTCAGATGGAGAATAGCAAACAGTAATATTATACCAGGAAGTCTATCGGGACCTAACCAACCACAGATTAGAGAACTACTTAGATTCTGTGACAAATTTTCACTCAACCAGCAGATATCGGAGATAACGAGAAATGAAAATATTCTACATCTGGTCTTTACGAACAATGAAGACATAATCAGGGACATTACGATATCAGGTACCACATACTCAGATCACAAGCTCATTGAAGTGCAAACAACCACCAATACTCAGAATAAACCTAAAACGTTGATAAAGCGAGAGGGGCTATTCAGTAAATTCAATTTTAATAATAAAAGGATAGACTGGGAGATAATAAACAGGGACTTACAAACATTCCATGGGAAACTGTTCTAAGTAATACAAGTGCTACAGAAGGAATAGAAAAACTGACTTTGGGGAGTTCCAGGTATCAACCTGGTACACCACGTGTCAACTTTGTGAAAGAGAAAACATGCACTCCCTTGAACATTATATTGCAGAATGTCCCATACTGACTTTCGCCCTCCTGGGCTGAGGTATGCTGAATTCTATAATTACTATATGAATACTGGAACACTTGATGATATATTGGACTTGTACCCAAGATTGACGATGTAATGTATCAATTATACAATGTATATGATGCAACTCTATAACCTGAGCTTTCAAAAGATTCTTAATCACCTTCAGTGGTTTAGTGCTTAATAACACATTAGTTTCTATATCGGCTGTATGTATATGTATATATGCGTATGTATATGTATGTATGTGTATAAAGTATATATGGAAGCTGATCAGAATTACATTTCACCTTTGTAAATGCACATTAATGACACTATGTAAAGAACACATCGACCACTCTATGTAGGGCAGACATAAATCTGGGTATGTATTTATGTATGTAGGTTAGATAAGCATTTTAAAAGCACTACAATCACCTTCTGTGGTTGATTGTTCAATAAATCCCTGAACAATATGTATAACAGATCTCTCACCCTATCCATGAATAAAGAAGAATATGTATATATGCTGATTAGCATTGTAAATGTTGGCCACGTCTATGGTAGAAAATAATAATAATAATAATAATAATAATAAACTGCACATGCAGAATGTTCATTGCACATGTAGAAATGCGTGGAAGCAAGTCAAGCGAACAAATAAAGGTTCCGGCACACCTTCACGTGGTGTGCCGGTCTCTCTCACCTCCGGAGCGAGAAAGGGAGAGAGCAAGAGAGAGAGAGAGAGAGAGACGGAGAAAGATGCCTCACCTGGAGAGGGAACCATCACAGTAAACAATGATGGTGAGTGAGTCGCTTCCAAGCAGAGTGGAGATGAGTCAGATGCCCTTGACTTACAGTCTGTAAAGTTGAGGAGACATGAGTAAGACAAGGGAGAGAGCACGAGACATGAGTGAGACGAGGGAGAGAGCAGGAGACATGAGTGAGACGAGGGAGAGAGCAGGAGACATGAGTGAGAGAGCAGGAGACATGAGTGAGAGAGCAGGAGACATGAGTGAGAGAGCAGGAGACATGAGTGAGATTAGGGAGAGAGCAGGAGACATGAGTGAGACGAGGGAGAGAGCAGGAGACATGAGTGAGACGAGGGAGAGAGCAGGAGACATGAGTGAGACGAGGGAGAGAGCAGGAGACACGAGTGAGACGAGAGAGAGAGCAGGAGACACGAGTGAGACGAGGGAGAGAGCAGGAAGCTAGCTTGAAACTCTGGAAAATGAGCTTAAAGGCTTAGAGAGAGTTGAGATGTTCAGATACATGATTAGTAGTATTCGTTTATAGGAAGGAAATAGAGGAGAGTGTGAGAAGAAAATGCTAAACCAGTATGACTATATACAGCACTTGGAAGGGAAATGAGGACAAGTGGCTGGGGCGTGAGGACAGCGTCAAGGGACTGCCCAATCACTTGCACCATCGGGGATTGAACGCAGAACCCGCAAGAAGCGAGGCTGCGTTCTAATAATCAGTCCAGTTTGATGGGGTCTACGTTTCAAGGTGATATGTGTGAGAAGCTGCTGCATAATATAAAGATCACAGAGCTATTTTCAATATATACACATTATAATAACTAGCCAAAGTATGCTGTATTTCCGTAAAGTCGGAAGGGAATCTGCATCTGTATTATCTGAGAGTCGCTATCTATCTATCTATCTATATATCTATCTATCTATCTATATATATATATATATATATATATATATATATATATATATATATATATATATATATATATATATATATATATATATATATATATATATATATATATATATATATTATTCAACCGAAAATTCCTGGACAAAAAAGATCAATGAGTTTACTACTTTTATTGAGCCATTGAAAGGATTTATTCTCACGCTTGCAATATGACTTAGTACTAGTTACACCAAACTGATGTATGTCGCACAATTGACTAAATAGATTGTTGAAGAGAGTAAAGGAATTGATGAGCCTGGGACGGTTGCAGGTTGCAGGGTGCACAGAGCCTTGCAAGGTATAGTGCCGGATAAAACGTTCACAGTTCTGGCACTATTCTGGTGAAGGCATTGAACTCGTTCTATCCAGATGCTCAACTATCACTATTATTCATTTATTTTTAATTTTACCGCGAACGCGAGTTTGTTGGCAACGTCACTCATCCCGTGGATGAACACACCGCCATAGTGACAGTACTGGGCAGCGTCACTCATCCTGTGAGTGAACACACCGACATAGTGTCCGTACTGGGCAGCGTCACTCATCCCGTGGGTGAACACACCGCCATAGTGACAGTACTGGGCAGTGTCACTCATCCCGTGGGTGAACACACCGCCATAGTGACAGTACTGGGCAGTGTCACTCTTCCTGTGAGTGGTCACTCCGCCATAGTGTCCGTACTGGGCAGCGTCACTCATCCTGTGAGTGAACACACCGCCATAGTGACAGTATTGGGCAGCGCCACTCATCCTGTGAGTGGACACACCGCCATAGTGACAGTATTGGGCAGCGTCACTCATCCTGTGAGTGAACACACCGACATAGTGTCCGTACTGGGCAGCGTCACTCATCCTGTGGGTGAACACACCGCCATAGTGACAGTACTGGGCAGTGTGACTCCTATCAGAACGTTCTGATAGGGGTATAGTGGTCTCATGGCTACTTCTGATAGGGAAAGGGGCGTTTGTGTTGGCCGCTCCTCACCATAGCCGCCTCCAGTGGCTGGGTTGACATGTAATCTTGTAGTGAACCTTGTGAGGCCCAACGTTCCTCTTCGTGTGCCCTGCTGGGCACAGACACCCCCCTGCCCCCCCACCCCGCCCAGGGGCTGTGTACTACCTACACCCCCCTGCCCCCGCCCAGGGACTGTGTACTACCTACACCCCCCTGCCCCCGCCCAGGGGCTGTGTACTACCTACACCCCCTGCCCAAACCCAGGGGCTGTGTACTACCTACACCCCCTGCCCCCGCCGAGGGGTTGTGTACTACCTACACCCCCCTGCCCCCGCCCAAGGGCTATGTACTACCCCTGCCCCCGCCCAGGGGCTGTGTACTACCTACACCCCCCTGCCCCCGCTCAGGGGCTGTGTACTACCTACACCCCCCTGCCCCCGCCCAGGGGCTGTGTACTACCTACACCCCCCTGCCCCCGCCCAGGGGCTGTGTACTACCTACACCCCCCTGCCCCCGCCCAGGGGCTGTGTACTACCTACACCCCCCTGCCCCCGCCCAGGGGCTGTGTACTACCTACACCCCCTGCCCCCGCCCAGGGGCTGTGTACTACCTACACCCCCCTGCCCCCGCCCAGGGGCTGTGTACTACCTACACCCCCCTGCCCCCGCCCAGGGGCTGTGTACTACCTACACCCCCCTGCCCCCGCCCAGGGGCTGTGTACTACCTACACCCCCCTGCCCCCGCCCAGGGGCTGTGTACTACCTACACCCCCCTGCCCCCGCCCAGGGGCTGTGTACTACCTACACCCCCCTGCCCCCGCCCAGGGGCTGTGTACTACCTACACCCCCCTGCCCCCGCCCAGGGGCTGTGTACTACCCCTGCCCCCGCCCAGGGGCTGTGTACTACCTACACCCCCTGCCCCCGCCCAGGGGCTGTGTACTACCTACATCCCCCTGCCCCCGCCCAGGGGCTGTGTACTACCTACACCCCCCTGCCCCCGCCCAAGGGCTGTGTACTACCTACACCCCCCTGCCCCCGCTCAGGGGCTGTGTACTACCTACACCCCCCTGCCCCCGCCCAGGGGCTGTGTACTACCTACACCCCCCTGCCCCCGCCCAGGGGCTGTGTACTACCTACACCCCCTGCCCCCGCCCAGGGGCTGTGTACTACCTACACCCCCCTGCCCCCGCTCAGGGGCTGTGTACTACCTACATCCCCCTGCCCCCGCCCAGGGGCTGTGTACTACCTACACCCCCCTGCCCCCGCCCAGGGGCTGTGTACTACCTACACCCCCTACCTCCCTCTGTACACTGTTACAATTATAAATCTCCCTCATTGATTTTCTTTGTCAGTGGTGGAGCCAAACCAGCAGGGTGGCGACGGTGTTCCGGCGACAGGACCGTCAGTCAGTCGTCAGCCAGACAGTCAATCAGTTAACCCTCCTGGCAACCAGTTAATCAGACACCCAGACAGCCAATCAGTCAGCTAGCCAGTCAGATATCCAATTAGATCAACCCTTAGCCAAGTAGTACTGCATCCAGCGTGCATGTCCAGCATTTTCAGCAACTATATATCCAAGATGTTGTCTGAATCTCTCATCAGCCAATCAGGCACTTCGTCAGCCTGGAAACAAGATGACTGTCAACTCGACAGAGAGAGTGATTGGTTAACCATCCACCGAGCCAACCAGCTAACCGGCTAGGATGATAGGTGACTATCCCCACAGCCAACTGTCCATCCAGTGAGACAGTATGCTACATGGTGTGGAAATGGATATCATATTCTTATTCATAGGATGTTCATAAGAACGGGAATTTAGTTTTTTCACTCGTCAGAGCACTGAGTGAAGTTTATTCATCTAGTACTCATTATATGAGTTTCCCTTATGTTATGAGGAAGAGTGTAACATAGATTTTTGTCTATGATGAATTACGAGTCTTATCAACTATTTACTTATAGAATACTTTGCATGTTGACCAGACCATACACTAGAAGGTGAAGGGACGACTACATTTCGGTCCGTCCTGGACCATTCTCAAGTCGATTGAGAATCAAATACTCAAATATTAGGACAATTTGAGGAATAATTAACAACACCTTGTTCTCCAGAGTTCCCCATGTGGGGAAAAACTTGTAGAGAGAACAAAGTCTTTACCAAAAGCCGTCAGTGGTAATCATCTGCTATTAGTAATAGGGACAAGGAGCCGGATGATAGCTCCGGCTGGGTTCCGGTTCCAGCTCCGGTTTGGCGATCCTTATTACGAAGTCAATAGACCTAGGGCTCATTATACACAGAAATCATAATAACGTGATATATCCAATGAACAAATTGGGTCATTGATGGCAAGGGGTCTTGATGAGGGGTTCGAACCTGTGTATTGGATGTTCCCAGACGCCCTCTAGTCCACTGTACCACCACATGGTAAAAATAAATCGCCTTCTTTTGTTCACAGGGCTCATTAATATTTTGTTGCTTGGGTCATTCAAAGTATATTGGAACTGGCCGTTCCTTAATAGGCACACATAGGGTAGTTATACTCTCACCTCGGGAGAAAGATCTTCATGGGTACCTGAGGGCAGCATGTCACCTTAGACTCTATATTAGATAGGTAAACACTGTGGGAATGCCCACCGGTGAAACACCCATCATGTTCCTTGAGCCTTGTCCCGTTATTCAGTAAACTACTTGTTAATTGATTTTTTTCTCATATGACGGAGATATTACATATAGGATGTGTTCAAGACATTGTTTATCTCACTTAAGTTTGTAATCTGAGAGTATGATTCTTCAACCTGGACCTCATTTGACTGTATTCTGCCTATATGTCTTTTCCTAGCTAATTATTCTAATTAATAATCTCTCTAGTTTCTGTTCCTGATTTAATTATCATTTACCCTCCTAGTCAAATTCGAGTATAAAACTGGGGTAATTGAAACCTTACGTGTATAGCGAAGTTTACGAACATTTAACGAAATCGAACCCCTGGATATGTAACCCCCCAACCCGTTCTCAGGCTGTGTTCATTCCATCCAGCGGCCGACCCCAATCACGCATTCATCATTTTTTTGCAACCTATCCTCAACCTATCAGGTTCGTTAAAGCAGCGACCCCCCCCCCCCACTGTCTTTTGCTTTAAAAATAAAGCAGCTACCCCCCCCCCCCCCCACCCACTTTTGCTTGTTCTCGTATATAAACT